AAAAAATGCAAGGATTTCGAGTGAGTACTCTTCACTGGAACAAGACCTTCTTAAATAGGAGATGTCTTGGGCGGATGGGATGAACTTGGACAGCTTGGGCGGAACAACCTAGGAGTCACCAAAGACTCTTCGGATATATGCATGCATGCTATTATTGTCGCCACTTCAATTAACCACGCGTGTTCGATAGATTTGGTTTCAAAAAAGATAAGGGTTCAGCCCAAAATGGCAAAATGACATAGATCATCAGTGTGAGAGGCATATCTTAAGACATCTCAAACTAAATTATTTGTTTAGTATTTACAAGGTCAAACTTCATTCACTTTCTTTCCCTATTTTTATTAGTCATTTGATAAAATAATATAGTAATGTCACTACTAGTTTTTTAGATCTTTTAATGTAGTTTTAAATTATGTAATTTTTAAGTTTTAATTCTATAATATTTTTCTTATAAAATAATTTGAAAATAGCTTCAGCCAAACATCGTAAACCAAAACAAATGATTTAAATTGGGACGGATGGATATTTGATTTTACCACCTTCATGCTAAAATAACGTTCTCATTTGACTTTTACATATTGTAATGTAATATTTGACCGTTAATATCTATATTTAATATTAAGACATTAATTTTTTAAATAAAAATATGATATTTCAAAACATTAATTTATTTCAAGACGAATCAAATCATATCAAATTTATTATATTGTTCAATTTATATTTTCTAAATTTTTTGGCCAAAGTTTTTTACAATATAATTTTGATCCTAAAAAATCAAATGCGAATCTTAATTTGGGACGGTTTTAGCTTTATTTTATTTATTTTAAAAAGTCTAATTACATAAGGAGTATATTCTTTTTTATTACTCGGTAATTGTATATTTTTGTACGAATGGCCCCATCCTATTTTAAGTTGCGTGTTGTTTTTTACGATGATTAACTGAAGTTATTTTTAAATTAATTTATATGAAAATTGAGTAAAAATAAAATTTATACATTAGAAACACTACATCAAAAGGTATTCAAAAGAAGAGTTAACATATCGGATCGACTATTCAGTTCGGTACAATTTGATTTTTTTTGTAGTTTTTTTTCGGTTCAGCGTTTTTCAGTTTGATTTCTTTGAAAAAGTTCAGAATCAGTTCGCTAATTACTCACTCCAACATAACTGTAGTTCTGCCGGTTAGGAGATCAAAGGTTTAAATCTTGGCAAATTCTTATGTGATCCAGGCCCGCCCAATGGGGTGTGCATGAGGTTCATTTGAACAGGGCCCCTTAGTTTGGAGGGCCCATTTTTTAAAAACTAAAAACCCATAAGTAGAGTTAATTTGTTATTTTAGCCCAATACAGTGTGAGAGTTCAATGCCTTCTTCATTCTGGATTCTTCTTCTCCTTTTGAGTCCTTCCACAGGCACAACTCTTCGGTTCCTCCTTCCTCTTTAATTATCACCTTTCTTATAGCTTCCTCTCTTCTATTTTATTTTACTTCAATCCTTCTTGTGGCAGTTGTGAACTCGTCAAAGCCATCACAAGGACTTTAAGGCTTCTCTTGCTTCATAATTTTGGCGAATTTATGACATCGTTCTTTCTTTTTTATAGATATTTTTAGGGTTAGATTTATTTGTTTCAAATTTTTCTAATTTTTATACTCCATAGTCTAATTAACAGAATATGTTTTGAACTTTTCCAATTTTTATTTTATATTTTCCCTAAATTTTCTAAATTTTATCGAGTTCGTGATTGATTTTGTTCATCTTTGTATTCAATTTTCCAATTTTTCTTCAATTCCAAAATTTCACTCGTTTGCAGGTCTTTAACAATGCGTCAAATAGATTAATTTTTATTTCATCATTCGTAGAGTACATCTTTAACAATGTTATAAAACGAGAGAAAAATTACTCAGAGATTATGAGAATAGATATAATATATTTTTGATTTCTTCTCTCTATTAACTTCTCACTCTTCTTCTTATTCTTAATGGTGATTACAATGCAGGGATTAGACCTCTATTTATAGTGGAGAGCCTTGGTATGGATACAAATACAAGTGGGAAGTACTGTAAATAATTGATACTCATCAATGGTTGTCTTAATATACTATTCTAGAAAATAGGCCTGATTAATTGAATAAATGAACAATCATTAATTTCATAACACTCCCCCTTGAATGTTCATTTTTCTCATTGCGCTTACGCAGAAAAACCCATTTGAAACCAACTGGTTTCACGCCTTTTGGCGCAGGAACTATAGGCCCAAAAACACTCCGTTTTTCAAGTGATTTCAATTCTGCCTGAATTGCTTCGTTCCATTTTGGTCAATCATGTCTACGTCGACATTCATCAACTGAAGTTGGCTCAATGTCATCATTTTCATCCATGATGTTTGTGGCAATGGCATATGCGAATATATCATCAACATGAACATCTTTTCTGTTCCATTGTAATCCCATAGAAACGTAATTCATTGAAATTTCATAATTATCAACGTTTTTATCTTCATCTGAATTATTCGCATCTTCAGAGATGGTTAAATCCTCATTTGAAACAAATTGTTCAATGATATTATTTTTTATATCAACATGCTCGGTTCGTTCATTTTCTTTCTTTGAAGAATGAACGTCTTTTGTTTCAAGTATTGTCTCTTGCCTTTTAAGTTTTCTTGGTTTTACATCTTTTGAACCAAGTGGTCTGCTACGCTTTTTGCGTATTGAAGACTCATTTGCAAGAGTTTTTTCATTTTTCTCTGAAGGAATTTCAATTCTGGCAGGAGCATTCATAGCTGGAATATGTGACTTTGTCACTTTCTTTGAATCTGTGAATGCGTCAGGTAATTGATTTGCAACATTTTGTAAATGAATTATCTTTTGCACTTCTTGTTCGCATGCATTTGTTCTTGAATCAAGAAAAGATAA